TCCCACAGGGTTCAGTGTTAATCACTGAGACTCCCACAGGGTTCAGTGTTAATCACTGAGACTCCCACAGGGTTCAGTGTTAATCACTGAGACTCCCACAGGGTTCAGTGTCAATCACTGAGACTCCCACAGGGTTCAGTGTTAATCACTGAGACTCCCACAGGGTTCAGTGTTAATCACTGAGACTCCCACAGGGTTCAGTGTTAATCACTGAGGCTCCCACAGGGTTCAGTGTTAATCACTGAGGCTCCCACAGGGTTCAGTGTTAATCAGTGAGACTCCCACAGGGTTCAGTGTTAATCACCGAGACTCCCACAGGGTTCAGTGTTAATCACTGAGGCTCCCACAGGGTTCAGTGTTAATCACTGAGGCTCCCACAGGGTTCAGTGTTAATCACTGAGGCTCCCACAGGGTTCAGTGTTAATCACTGAGGCTCCCACAGGGTTCAGTGTTAATCACTGAGGCTCCCACAGGGTTCAGTGTTAATCACTGAGGCTCCCACAAGGTTCAGTGTTAATCACCGAGACTCCCACAGGGTTCATTGTTAATCACTGAGACTCCCACAGGGTTCAGTGTCAATCACTGAGACTCCCACAGGGTTCAGTGTCAATCACTGAGACTCCCACAGGGTTCAGTGTTAATCTCTGAGGCTCCCACAGGGTTCAGTGTTAATCACTGAGACTCCCACAGGGTTCAGTGTTAATCACTGAGACTCCCACAGGGTTCAGTGTCAATCACTGAGACTCCCACAGGGTTCAGTGTTAATCACTGAGACTCCCACAGGGTTCAGTGTCAATCACTGAGACTCCCACAGGGTTCAGTGTTAATCACTGAGACTCCCACAGGGTTCAGTGTTAATCACTGAGACTCCCACAGGGTTCAGTGTTAATCTCTGAGGCTCCCACAGGGTTCAGTGTTAATCACTGAGACTCCCACAGGGTTCAGTATTAATCACTGAGACTCCCACAGGGTTCAGTGTTAATCACCGAGACTCCCACAGGGTTCAGTGTTAATCACTGAGACTCCCACAGGGTCCAGTGTTAATCTCTGAGACTCCCACAGGGTTCAGTGTCAATCACTGAGACTCCCACAGGGTTCAGTGTTAATCACTGAGTCTCCCACAGGGTTCAGTGTTAATCAGTGAGGCTCCCACAGGGTTCAGTGTTAATCACTGAGACTCCCACAGGGTTCAGTGTTAATCACTGAGACTCCCACAGGGTTCAGTGTTAATCACCGAGACTCCCACAGGGTTCAGTGTTAATCACCGAGACTCCCACAGGGTTCAGTGTTAATCAGTGAGACTCCCACAGGGTTCAGTGTTAATCACCGAGACTCCCACAGGGTTCAGTGTTAATCAGTGAGGCTCCCACAGGGTTCAGTGTTAATCACCGAGACTCCCACAGGGTTCAGTGGTAATCAGTGAGGCTCCCACAGGGTTCAGTGTTAATCACCGAGACTCCCACAGGGTTCAGTGTTAATCACCGAGACTCCCACAGGGTTCAGTGTTAATCAGTGAGGCTCCCACAGGGTTCAGTGTTAATCACCGAGACTCCCACAGGGTTCAGTGTTAATCAGTGAGGCTCCCACAGGGTTCAGTGTTAATCACCGAGACTCCCACAGGGTTCAGTGTTAATCACCGAGTCTGTCTCCCTGTGTGGTGCTGATGTTACAGATGGCCACAAAGAGGGATGGAGACGCTTTCCAGGCTAAACTGGGGCTCAGCAGGCGGTGATGAAGACACGCGGAGACTCACCCTCTCACCAACTCACTCGCTCACCAACCCACTCACCCACTCACCCACTCACTCACTCACCCACCAACCCACTCACTCATACACTCACCCACTCACTCACACACTCACTCACCACTCACTCACCCACCAGCCCACTCACTCACTCACTCACCCACTCACTCACCAACCCACTCACCCACTCACCTACTCACTCACTCACTCAGCTACTCACCCACCCACCCACTCACACACCCACCCACTCACACAATCACCCACTCACTTACCAACCCACTCACTCACTCACCCACCGACCCACTCACCAACTCACTCACCCACTCACCTACTCACTCACCCACTCAGCTACTCACCCACCCACCCACCTATTCACCGACCCACCCACTCACTCACCCACCTACTCACCCGACCCACTCACTCACCCACCCACTCACCCACTGACCCACCGATCCACTCACCAACTCACCCAACCACTCACCCACCCACCCACTCGTGTGAGAGAGACAGAGACTCGGACGCGGATGTACCAGTCTCTGGGTTTTATTTTGGTGGTGGTGGTGGTGGCAGTGGTGGTGGTGGTGGTAGTTGTGGCGGCGGTGGTGGTGGTGGTGAGTGTCTGTGTGTGTGTCTGTGTGTGAATGTACGTGTGTCTGTGTGAATGTATGTCTGTGTGTGTCTTGTGTGTGAGTGTGAGTGTATCTGTGTGTCTGTCTGTGTGAGTGAATGTATGTGTGTCTGTGTGAGTGTCTGTGTGAGTGAATGTATGTGTGTCTGTGTGAACGTCTGTGTGAGTGTGTGAGTGAATGTATGTGTGTCTGTGTGAGTGTCTGTGTGAGTGAATGTATGTGTGTCTGTTTGAGTGTCTGTGTATGTCTGTGTGAGTGTGTGTCTATGTGCATGTCTGTGTACGTGAATGTATCTGTCTGTGCGAGTGCCTGTGTGTCTGTGTGTCTGTGCGTGTCTGTCTGGAGAGCGGTGGGTGTAGTCGTTAGCGCCACGCTGCGCTACGAACCCGGCGACCCGAATTCAATTCCCGCTCACGGCCAACACCGCCAGCGATGATTATCTGAACCGGTCCTGGGCCTTCCCTAGGTCGACTCAGCCTCAAGTGAGTAGCTGGTGTCGTAGCGGTGTGTAGTAGTGAACATCGCCACTGGGGGAGAGACAAAGACGGCCGGGCGTGGTGCTGTCTGCCCACCCCCTCTGTGTGTGCCACAGTGCCGGTAGCCTTCATAGGCGCTGCTGCTACTCGCTCGCTAACAGCACTTGCCCCTGCAGCCCGGCTAGAGGCTACCTGGGGTGGCTTTGTCTGTGTGTGGGTAGCGGTCCGTTTGTGTTTGTAATTAAAACTCGGGACGTTGGTAAATGGCCGTGGTTCACCGACTTCCATGCTGTGGTGGGTGGTGAGTGGGTGGGTGAGTGGGTGGGTGAGTGGTGAGTGGGTGGGTGGGGGAGTGGGTGAGTGAGTGAGTGGGTGGTGAGTGGGTGGGTGAGTGAGTGGGTGGTGAGTGGGTGGGTGAGTGGTGGGGGAGTGGGTGAGTGAGAGGGTGGGTGAGTGAGTGAGTGGGTGAGTGGGTGGGTGAGTGGGTGGGTGGGTGAGTGGGTGGGTGAGTGAGTGGGTGGGTGAGTTGGTGAGTGGGTGGGTGAGTGAGTGGGTGGGTGAGTGGGTGGGTGAGTGGGTGGGTGAGTGAGTGAGTGGTGAGTGGGTGGGTGAGTTGGTGAGTGGGTGGGTGAGTGAGTGGGTGAGTGGTGAGTGGGTGGGTGAGTGAGAGGGTGAGTGGTGAGTGAGTGAGTGGGTGAGTGGTGAGTGAGTGGGTGAGTGGGTGAGTGAGTGGCTGAGTGAGTGAGTGGGTGAGTGTGTGAGTGAGTGGGTGAGTGTGTGGGTGAGTGTGTGAGTGAGTGGGTGAGTGTGTGAGTGGGTGAGTGTGTGAGTGAGTGGGTGAGTGTGTGAGTGAGTGGGTGAGTGAGTGGGTGAGTGTGTGAGTGAGTGAGTAAGTGTGTGAGTGAGTGTGTGTGTGAGTGTGAGTGTGTGAGTAAGTGAGTGTGTGAGTAAGTGAGTGGGTGAGTGAGTGTGTGAGTAAGTGTGTGAGTGAGTGTGTGTGTGAGTGTGTGAGTGAGTGTGTGAGTGAGTGTGTGAGTAAGTGAGTGGGTGAGTGAGTAAGTGAGTGGGTGAGTGTGTGAGTGAGTGAGTGTGTGAGTGAGTAAGTGAGTGGGTGAGTGAGTGTGTGAGTGTGAGTGTGTGAGTAAGTGTGTGAGTGAGTGTGTGTGTGAGTGTGTGAGTGAGTGTGTGAGTAAGTGAGTGTGTGAGTGAGTAAGTGAGTGGGTGAGTGAGTGTGTGAGTGTGAGTGTGTGAGTAAGTGTGTGAGTGAGTGTGTGTGTGAGTGTGTGAGTGAGTGTGTGAGTAAGTGAGTGTGTGAGTGAGTAAGTGAGTGGGTGAGTGTGTGAGTGAGTGAATGTGAGTGTGTGAGTGAGTACGTGAGTGAGTGTGTGTGAATGTGTGAGGGGTTCGGGGTGACAATGTTCGCGGTGGAGTCCCAGCACTGCGGCCTGGTACCCCGGGGAGCCTCGGCCTCGCCTGGCTCGCCCGGGGCTCCGAGGCCGTGGGGAGGGGGGTGCTGCTTCGGGCTCAGTGGCCCTCACAGCTCATTAGCATAGCCACGCCCACACAGTTCATTAGCATAACCACGCCCACACACCTCATTAACATAGCCACGCCTACACCACTCATTGGTATAGCCACGCCCACACAGCTCATTAGCTTAGCCACGCCCAGAGTTCATTAGCATAGCCACGCCCACACAGCTCATCAACATAGCCACGCCCACACATCTCATCAGCATAGCCACGTCCACACAGCTCATTAGCATAGCCACGCCCACACAGCTCATTAGCATAGCCACGCCCTCACACCTCATTAGCATAACCACGCCCACAGCTCATTAGCATAGCCACGCCCTCAAGTTGCCACTTTGCATAGACATCTTCTTGGTTCTTTCGGTAAAGTCACGTAGCATGGAAATAATAAAATCATTAAAATAAAACATGCTTATATTATGTTTAATTTTTATTATTTAATAATATGTTTTACGCCATGTTTTATTTTTTTTATTTTATTATTTCCCTTCTACGTGACTTTACCAAAAGAACCAAGAAGATGAATCCCTGCAGTCACGAAAGAAGCTTTAAATCGTAATTTTGCATATCCGCTCCCACCAGAGGCACACCGCATGAACATCGCCCAGCAGCAGCAGCGCGAGTGATTAAAACGAGTTTAATTGAAAACAAAAACTTCCCAGATCAATGATTAGAAACCCCGTTGCATTGTGGGTGACCACCGTGTGTTCATGACAACAGCAAAACCGTTAACAAACAAACAACCACCACCAGCAACAACCACCACCACCACCATCACCATCATCACCACCACCAACAACCACCACCACCATCTCCACCATCTCCACTACCACCAGCAACAACCACCACCACCAACAACCATCACCACCATCTCCACCATCTCCACTACCACCACCACCATCTCCACCATCTCCACTACCACCAGCAACAACCACCACCACCAACAACCACCACCACCATCTCCACCATCTCCACTACCACCACCAACCACCACCACCATCTCCACTACCACCAGCAACAACCATCACCACCATCTCCACCATCTCCACTACCACCACCACCATCTCCACTACCACCACCAACCACCATCTCCACTACCACCACCAACCACCACCACCATCTCCACTACCACCACCAACAACCACCACCACCATCTCCACTACCACCACCACCATCTCCACTACCACCACCAACCACCATCTCCACTACCACCACCAACCACCACCACCATCTCCACTACCACCAGCAACCACCACCATCTCCACTACCACCACCACCAACAACAATCACCATCATCACCACCACCATCTCCACTACCACCAGCAGCAACCATCACCACTACCACCACCACCATCTCCACTACCACCAGCAACAACCATCACCACACCACCATCACCACTACCACCATCTCCTCCACTGCCACTACCACCACCACCATCACCACAAGCTCCACCACCACCATCATCATCACCACTACCACCATCACCACCACCACAACCTCCTCCACCACCACCACCACCATTATCACAACCTCCACTACCACCATCACCACTACCACAACCACCACCACAACCACCATCATCACCGCCACATCCAACAGTGGAGAGACCCTGGCTGCTGCTGATGGTGATGGAGAGAATGATTGTGATGATGGTGATGGTGTGTATGGGGAGTGTATGGGGGGTGTGGTGTGTGTGGTGTGTGCGGTGTGTGTGCGGTGTGTGTGCGGTGTGTGTGCGGTGTGTGTGTGGTGTGTGTGTGGTGTGTGTGCGGTGTGTGGTATTGGTGTGGTGTGTGTGTGGTATTGGTGTGTGTGTGGTGTGTGTGTAGTGTACGTGGTGTGTGTGTGGTGTCTCTGTGTGGTGTGTGTGTGGTGTGTGGTGGTTGTGTGTGTGTGGTGTGTGTGTGGTGTCTCTGTGTGGTGTCTCTGTGTCTATGGGGTCTACGTGTGTCTGTGTGCCTCTATGTGTGTCTGTGTGCCTCTATGTGTGTCTGTGTGCCTCTATGTGTGTGTCTCTGTGTGGGGGTCTCCCTGGGGGGGTAGTCTTCTCTCAGCAGGCGAGGGCCCCCATGGGGTCCCAGGCGGGCAGCACGTGCGGCTCCTGTGTGTGTGTCTGTGTGTCTCTGTGTGTCTCTGTGCGTGTCTCTGTGTGTGTGTGTCTCTGTGTGTCTCTCTGTGTGTGGTGTCTGTGTGTGTCTCTGTGTGTGTCTCTGTGTGGGTCTCTCTGTGTGTGTGTGGGTCTCTCTGTGTGTGTGTGTGTGTCTCTGTGTGTGTGTGTGTCTGTGTATGTGTCTCTGTGTGTGTTTCTGTGTCTCTGTGTGTCTCTGTGTGTGTGTGTGTGTGTGTCTCTGTGTGTGTGTCTCTGTGTGTGTCTCTGTGTGTGTGTCTCTGTGTGTGTGTCTCTGTGTGTGTGTCTCTGTGTGTGTGTCTCTGTGTGTGTGTGTGTCTCTGTGTGTGTGTGTGTCTCTGTGTGTGTGTCTCTGTGTGTGTCTCTGTGTGTGTCTCTGTGTGTGTGTCTCTGTGTGTGTGGGGGTCTCCCTGGGGGGGGGGGTGTTCTCTCAGCAGGCGAGGGCCCCCATGGGGTCCCAGGCGGGCAGCACGTGCGGCTCCTGTGTGTGTGTGTCTGTGTGCGTGTCTGTGTGTGTGTGTGTCTCTGTGTGTGTGTGTCTGTGTGTGTCTCTGTGTGTGTGTGTGTCTCTGTGTGTGTCTGTGTGTGTGTCTGTGTGTGTGTCTCTGTGTGTGTCTGTGTGTGTGTCTCTGTGTGTGTCTGTGTGTGTGTCTCTGTGTGTGTGTCTCTGTGTGTGTGTCTCTGTGTGTGTCTCTATGTGTGTCTCTATGTGTGTCTCTGTCTGTGTGTGTCTCTGTGTGTGTGTCTCTGTGTATGTGTCTCTGTGTGTGGGGGTCTCTGTGTGTGTGTCTCTGTGTGTCTCTGTGTGTCTCTGTGTCTCTGTGTGTTTGTCACTGTGTGTGTGTGTGTGTGTCTCTGTGTGTCTCTGTGTGTTTGTCACTGTGTGTGTGTGTGTGTCTCTGTGTGTGTGTCTCTGTGTGTGGGGGTCTCTGTGTGTGTCTGTGTGTGTGTCTCTGTGTGTGTGTCTCTGTGTGTGTCTCTATGTGTGTCTCTGTCTGTGTGTGTCTCTGTGTATGTGTCTCTGTGTATGTGTCTCTGTGTGTGGGGGTCTCTGTGTGTGTGTCTCTGTGTGTCTCTGTGTGTCTCTGTGTCTCTGTGTGTTTGTCACTGTGTGTCTCTGTGTGTGTGTGTGTGTCTCTGTGTGTCTCTGTGTGTCTCTGTGTGTCTCTGTGTGTCTCTGTGTGTGTGTCTCTGTGTGTGTGTCTCTGTGTGTGTGTCTCTGTGTGTGTGTCTCTGTGTGTGTGTCTCTGTGTGTGTGTCTCTATGTGTGTCTCTGTGTGTGTGTCTCTGTGTGTGTCTGTGTGGGTCTCTGTGTGTGTGTGTGTCTCTGTGTGTGTGTGTGTCTCTGTGTGTCACTGTGTGTGTCTCTGTGTGTCTCTGTGTGTCTCTGTGTCTCTCTATGTGTCTCTGTGTGTCTCTGTGTGTGGGGGTCTCCCTGGGGGGGGGGTGTTCTCTCTCAGCAGGCGAGGGCCCCCATGGGGTCCCAGGCGGGCAGCACGTGTGGATCCTGTGTGTGTCTCTGTGTGTGTCTGTGTCTGTGTGGGGGTCTATGTGTGTCTGTGTGTGTCTGTGTGTGTGTCTCTGTGTGTGTCTGTGTGTGTGTGTGTCTCTGTGTGTGTCTGTGTGTGTGTCTCTGTGTCTGTGTGTGTGTCTGTGTGTGTGTCTGTGTGTGTGTGTGTCTGTGTGTGTGTCTGTGTGTGTGTCTGTGTGTGTGTGTGTCTGTGTGTGTGTCTGTGTGTGTGTCTGTGTGTGTGTCTCTGTGTGTGTCTGTGTGTGTGGTGTCTGTGTGTGTCTGTGTGTGTGTGTCTCTGTGTCTCTGTGTGTCTCTGTGTGTGTGGGGGTCTCCCTGGGGGGGTGGTGTTCTCTCTCAGCAGGCGAGGGCCCCCATGGGGTCCCAGGCGGGCAGCACGTGCGGCTCCTGCGAGAGCACCGCCAGCACCGCCTCGGGGCACAGCGAGCGGTCCACCACCACCTCGTAGACAAACTCGGAGAACCACGCGTCACACATGGACAGGTAGCCTGGGGGGGCGGGGGGGGAGGGGACAATGAGAAACTTCGTGGGAAGTTGGTGGTGGTGGTGGTGATGGTGGTGGTGATGGAGGTGGTGGTGGTGGTGGTGATGGTGGTGATGGTGGAAGAGGTAATGGTGGTGATGGTGGAGGTGGTGGTGATGGTGGTGATGATGGTGGTGGAGGTGGTGATGATGGTGGTGGAGGTGGTGGTGATGGTGGTGGTGGTGATGATGGTGGAGGTGGTGATGGTGGTGGTGGTGATGGTGTTGATGGTGGTGGTGATGATGATGGTGGAGGTGGTGATGGTGGTGGTGGTGGTGATGGTGGTGATGATGATGGTGGTGGTGATGATGGTGATGATGATGATGGTGATGATGGTGCTGGTGATGATGGTGATGATGGAGGTGGTGATGATGGTGGTGGAGGTGGTGGTGATGGTGGTGCTGGTGGTGGTGGTGGAGGAGATGGTGATGTTAGTGCTGATAGAGGAGGAGGTGGTGGTGGAGGTGGTGGTCGAGGAGGAGGTGGTGGTGGTGGAGGTGGTGGTGGAGGTGGTGGTCGAGGAGGAGGTGGTGGTGGTGATGTTGGTGGTGATGATGATGGTGGTGATGGCGGTGATGGTGGAAGAGGTGATGGTGGTGATGGCGGTGGTGGTGGTGATGGTGGTGATGGTGATGATGCTGCTGATGATGCTGCTGATGATGCTGCTGCTGATGATGCTGCTGCTGCTGATGATGCTGCTGATGATGCTGCTGCTGATGATGCTGCTGCTGCTGATGATGCTGCTGCTGCTGATGATGATGCTGCTGATGATGCTGCTGCTGATGATGCTCCTGGTACCTTTGCATCCACGATCATCACCCCACGAGTTCTCCACCCTCCACTTCTCATACTCAGCACCCTCCTTGCCCTCCTGAGACACGCGGGGGAGACACGGGGAGACACGGGGGGGGGGGGGGAGACACGGGGAGACACGGGGGGGGGGGGGGAGACACGGGGGGGGGGGGACACGGGGAGGGAGACACGGGGGGGGAGACACGGGGGGGCGAGGGAGACACGGGGGGGGGGACACGGGGAGGGAGACACGGGGGGGGGGGGAGACACGGGGGGGGGGGAGACACGGGGGGGAGACACGGGGGGGGGGACACGGGGAGGGAGACACGGGGGGGGGGGAGACACGGGGGGGGGGGAGACACGGGGGAGAGACACGGGGGGGGAGACACGGGGGGGGGGACACGGGGAGGGAGACACGGGGGGGCGGGGGAGATATGGGGGAGAGACACGGGGGGGGAGACACGGGGGGGGGGAGACACGGGGGGGCGGGGGAGACACGGGGGAGAGACACGGGGGGGGAGACACGGAGGTGGAGACAGTCACAGAGAGACACGTTAATATCAGCGATGATAATGCCAATGTTGATGGTGATGATGTTGATGGTGATGATGTTGATGGTGATGATGTTGGTGGTGGTGATGCTGATGGTGGTGGTGATGGTTGTTGATGGTGGTGATGGTAGTGTTGATGGTGATGATGGTGGTGGTGGTGATGATGGTAGTGGTGATGATGATTGCTGGTGGTGATGATGTTGGTGGTGGTGGTGATGATGATGATGATGTTGGTGGTGATGGTGGTGATGATGATGATGATGTTGGTGATGATGCTGATGTTGATGCTGATGCTGGTGGTGTTGTTGATGATGTTGTTGATGATGATGGTAGTGGTGATGATGATTGCTGTTGGTGATGTTGTTGGTGATAGTGGTGATGATGTTGTTGGTGATGTTGTTGGTGTTGGTGATGTTGTTGATGATGATGATGTTGGTGATGATGATGATGATGGTGGTGGTGATGGTAGTGGTGATGATGATGTTGATGATGCTGGTGGTGGTGATGATGATGATGCTGGTGATGTTGTTGGTGATGTTGTTGATGCCATCACCGTGTCGGAGTAGGCTGTGAGAACCATGGCGTGGGTCATCAGCGAGTCCCCGTAGATCAGCCGCTCCGACTTGGTCATCGACTTCACGGACACTCCAAACACCAACTCGTGGTTATACCTACACACGACGTCACCATCATCATCACCACCATCAACATCATCATCATCAACATCATCGCCATCATCATCACCATCATCACCACCACCATCATCATGAACACCATCATCATCATCAACACCACCATCACCATCATCACTACTATCATCATCACCACCAACACCACCATCATCATCATCATCACCACCATCATCAACATCATCATCACCATCATCAACACCAACATCATCATCATCACCATCATCATCAACATCATCAACATCATCAACAACATCATCATCACCATCATCATCAACACCACTACCACCAACACCGCCATCACCACCATCATCATCATCAACATCACCATCATCATCATCAACATCACCATCATCCCCATCACCACCATCATCACCACCATCAACACCACCATGTGTACGTGTGTGTACGTGTGTGTACGTGTGTGTGTGTACGTGTGTGTGTGTACGTGTGTGTGTGTACGTGTGTGTGTGTACGTGTGTGTGTGTACGTGTACGTGTGTACGTGTGTGTGTACGTGTGTACGTGTGTGTGTGTGTACGTGTGTGTACGTGTGTGTGTACGTGTGTACACGTGTGTGTCAGTGTGTATGTGTGTGTGTGTACGTGTGTGTGCCTGTGTGTGTGTGTACGTGTGTGTACGTGTGTGTGTACGTGTGTGCATGTGTACGGTGTGTGTGTGTACGTGTGTGTGTACGTGTGTGTGTGCGTGTACGTGTGTACGTGTGTGTGTATGTGTGAGTACGTGCGTGTGTGTACGTGCGAGTGCGTGTGTGTACGTGCGAGTGCACGTGTACGTGCGTGTGTGTGTGCGTGTACGTGTGTACGTGCGTGTACGTGTGTGTGTGTGTACGTGTGTGTACGTGTGTGTGTGTGTACGTGTGTGTACGTGCGTGTACGTGTGTACGTGCGTGTACGTGTGTGTGTGTGTACGTGTGTGTACGTGTGTGTGTGTGTACGTGTGTGTACGTGTGTGTGTGTACGTGTGTGTACGTGTACGTGCGTGTGTGTGCGTGCGAGTGTCTCACAGGTTCATGTCGTGGATGCCCAGTTTGCCGTGGAAATGTTTCCCGACGTCGCAACCAAACCACACCGCCTGGAGACACGGGGGGTGAGACACGGGGGGGGGAGACACGGGGGGGGGGAGACACGGGGGGGGAGACACGGGGGGGGGAGACACGGGGGGGGAGACACGGGGGGGGGAGACACGGGGGGGGAGACACGGGGGGGGGGGGAGACACGGGGGGGGGGGGGGAGAGACACGGGGGGGGGGAGACACGGGGGGAGAGACACGGGGGGAGAGACACAGGGTGAAGACACGGGGGGGAGACACGGGGAGGGGAGACACGGGGGGGGGGGGAGACACGGGGGGGGGAGACACGCGTTTAACCACACCCCCCCACTACCCCCCACCACCCCGCCCACCTCTCCACTGCGGATGGAGGCTGCAGCCAGGCTCTTGAGCAGCTCTGCGGGCTGGTTGACGTAGACCGTCACTCCCCACCACTCCCCCCCACTACCCCCCCACCACTACCCCCCCACCACTACCCCCCACCACCCCCCCACTACCCACCTCTCCGCTGCAGATGGAGGCTGCCGCCAGGCTCTTGAGCAGCTGTGCGGGCTGGTTCACGTAGACCGTCCCTCCCCACCACACCCCCCCACCACCCCCCCACCACTCCCACCCCCCCACCAACCCCCCACCACCCCGCCCACCTCTCCACTGCGGATGGAGGCTGCCGCCAGGCTCTTGAGCAGCTGTGCGGGCTGGTTCACGTAGACCGTCCCTCCCCACCACTCCCCCCCACCACCCCCCCACTACTACCCCCCCACCACCCCCCCACCGCCCACCTCTCCACTGCGGATGGAGGCTGCCGCCAGGCTCTTGAGCAGCTGTGCGGGCTGGTTCACGTAGACCGTGCGCTGTCCGCCCACCACGTTGCCCAGGAACTCGACGGTGTAGAGGCGGCCAAACTGGTGGTGGGGACGCGGGTCGTTCACCAGGCACACCTGGGGGGGTGGACACGGAGACGATGATGGTGGACATGGTGGTGGTGGTGGACATGGTGGTGGTGGTGGATGTGGTGGACGTGGTGGTGGTGGTGGTGGGGACGTGGGTCGTTCACCAGGCACACCTGGGGGGAGGGGACACGGGGACGATGGGGTCGGTGGTGGTGGTGGACATGGTGGTGGTGGTGTTGGTGGTGCTGGTAGTGGTGGTGGTGCTGGTGGTGGTGGTAGTGGTGGTGGTGGTAGTAGTGGTGGTGCTGGTAGTGATGGTGGTGCTTGGTGGTGGTGGTAGTGGTGGTGGTGGTAGTGGTGTTGGTGGTAGTGGTGGTGGTGTGGTGGTGGTGATGATGGTGGCGGTGGTGATGATGGTGTGATGGTGCTGGCGGTGGTGTTGGTGGTGGTGGTGTTGGTGGTGATGGTGGTGCTGGTGGTGGTTGTTGTAGTGGTGGTGGTGGTGGTGGTGGTGTAGTGGTGGTGGTTGTGGTGGTGGTGGTGGTGGTAGTAGTGGTGGTGGTGGTGTAGTGGTGGTGGTGGTGGTAGTAGTGGTGGTGGTGGTGGTTGTTGTAGTGGTGGTGTCTACCTTGGTGGCCACGTCGTAGAGCGGCTGCACGTGCTGCTGGTAGAACTGCAGAGGGGTGAGGGGCCCCAGGCTGTGCTGGTAGTGGTGGTGGTGTCTACCTTGGTGGTGGTTGTGGTGGTGGTGGTAGTGGTGGTGGTGGTGGTTGTTGTAGTGGTGGTGTTGGTGTGGTGGTGGTGGTGGTGTCTACCTTGGTGGTGGTTGTGGTGGTGGTGGTAGTGGTGGTGATGGTGGTGGTGTTGGTAGTAGTGGTGGTGGTGTTGTGGTGGTGGTGGTGGTGGTGTCTACCTTGGTGGCCACGTCGTAGAGCGGCTGCACGTGCTGCTGGTAGAACTGGAGGGGGGTGAGGGGCCCCAGGCTGTGGAAGGCCTTCTCCTTATCCTTGTAGTCCCACGTGAACGACGACGGGGGGCAGCCCAGGCAGATGCTCACCACTCGGTACACCTACACGCACGCACACACACACACAGATACATATAGACACACACATAGACACATAGACACACAGACACACACACAGACACACGCACACACACACACGCACACAGATACATATAGACACACACATAGACACACACACATAGACACATAGACACACAGACACACACACAGACACACGCACACACACACACAGATACATATAGACACACACATAGACACACACACATAGACACACACACCTATACACACACACGCGCACACGCGCAGACACATAGACACACACACATAGCATAGACACACACACATAGCATAGACACACACACACATAGACACACACACATAGACACACACACATAGACACACACAAATAGACACACACACATAGACACACACACATAGACACACACACATAGACACACACACATAGACACACACACACATAGACACACACACATAGACACACACACACCTATACACACACACGCGCACACGCGCAGACACATAGACACACACACACATAGACACACACACATAGACACACACACACATAGACACACACACACATAGACACACACACATAGCATAGACACACACACACATAGACACACACACACAGACACACACACATAGACACACACACCTATACACACACACGCGCACACGCGCAGACACATAGACACACACACACATAGACACACACACATATCATAGACACACACACATAGACACACACACATAGACACACACACCTATACACACACACGCGCACACGCACAGACACATAGACACACACACACATAGACACACACACATAGACACACACACATAGACACACACACATAGACACACACACATAGACAAAGATCAAAGATCCCCCATATAGCCTGAACAGACTGTAGGGGCAAGTACTGTTAGCGAGCACCTATGAAGGCCGGAACGGTACACGAGGGGGTGGGTGGCCAGCACCACGCCCGACCGCCTTTGTCTCCCTAGTGGCGATGTTTACACACCGCACCAAGTACTCATTTAAGGCTGAGTCGACCTAGGGGAGGCCCAGGACCGGTTCAGATAATCGTCACTGGTGTTAGCCGTGAGCGGGAATCGAACCCGGGTCGCCAGGTTCATAGCGCAGCGCACTAACCACTACACTACCGCTCCCCGCACAGACAGACACAGACACACACACACAGACACACGCACATAGACACACACAGACACTCACGCACACAGACACACACACAGACACACACACAGACACACACAAACACACACACAGACACACACACACACATAGACACACACACACGCACACGCAGACACACACGCATAGACACACATAGACACACGCACGCAGACACGCATAGACACAGATACACACAGACACATAGACATAGAGACACACACACAAACACACACACAGACACACATAGACACATAGACATAGAGACATAGACACGCACACACAGACACACACGCACACAGACACACACACACAGACGCACATCGACACACACACACCACACAGACACACACACAGACGCACATAGACACACAAACACACATACACACAGACACACACACATAGATACACATAGACACACACACGCATAGAGACACACAGACAGACACAGACACACACAGACACACGCACATAGACACACACAGACACACACACACAGACACACACACACACCACACAGAAACATACACACACAGACACACACACAGACACACACACAACACATCCACCCATCCACCCCAACACCCACCCACTACCCACCACCCACCACTACCCAACACCCACCCACCCCAACACCCACCCTCCTCCCACCATGGATATCGATCTCCTGATCAATCTCCTCCGTTCCCGAGCCCCTTGTCCACCATCTTCTGAGCCGCAGG